AGTTATTAGATTCTCTTCTGATAGGAAAGTGAATCTAGTTGGTACTTTGGGGAGTTAAAAATAAAAATTTTCCAGTTTTTTCAAAAGCGCCTTAAAAAACGAAAAAGAAAATTAAGGAATTTGTACGCAAAATCTGTTTTCGAAAAAATCAATTTTGGTTTTTGGTGCAACTCTTAAACAAATGACATTAGGTATATGAAATTTGGAATGGATGTTTATATTAACATTTCTATACTCCATACAATTTTAAAAATAATTTGACTGTTTTTAAGTTGTTTCCGGACATTTTTTTAGTTTTTTTTCCTTTATATATATCAATAAAATTTTATTTGTTAGTTAAAAAAGCTTGAACACCTAATAGAAGGGTCATAGTATATTGTTTCAAAGGCAGATGAAAAAAATTAAAAATCCATAGTCACAATATTTTTTTATAAGCATTTAATTCAAATATTGACAAAATACGTAAAAATTACGAACATTTGAAAAATTTTTAGTACAAGATTCCTCTCAAGTTTGTCTACCTTTATCAAAAAAAAAAATGTCTACAAGAAACTCAAATTACATTTTTATGAGAGTTTGAAATTCATATTTTTACAACAATATATTCACTCGATTTCTCATGTATAACGATTTTTATTAGCAATTTTCTATGCACCATACAATTTTGTCGTTGCCGCCGCCGTGTTACACAGTGTCACCGTCAGGGAGGAGTCTTCGTTCCAGTACGCGCCGTCGCCGCACAAGTAGGGGCAAAGTCAACGTCGCCGAGCAGTGGGTCAGTGGAGCAATTCAATTATATTCACGCGGTAAACAATAACAATCGAGTATCAACACCATCATAATGCAACAGTATTTACTATACATCGTTTCGTAAGTTTTTATTTATAATTACTTGGGGCAATTAAATTATCTGGTACTTATTTCTTTAGTATAATAATTATTATTAGTATTCTTTTTCAAGTTATCTAGTATTGCTAGGATTGTCTTGCTAATTTTTCAAAAAGGGAGTTAATCCTAATTTAGTGGGATTTATTAATGTATTGGAATATTCTATTGTTGAGATTTTCTTTAAAAAAAAAATAATAATTAGCTTCAGTTTATTAAATTTATCTATCTAATAATCGGGCCTTTTAGCTAGTGCATGTCGAACTCAGGGTCAAATGATGGCATTGGTGGAGATTTAATAGATTTGGACAGCTTTAGTAGTGGGTCGTCTAGTGGAGAATTGTATGTACCAATTAGTGGTGTCCTACGAAGGGCAGGGGATACAATAGACCGAACGGACGAACTGTTAGGGTCAACTAGGTATTTACTAAGAAGTCAAAGGACCAAGCCACACACAGAACCTCAACCAATCCAACATTCAGAGCATACAGAAAATCAACAAAATTCAGAGCCTCCAGAGCATCAACAAAACACAGAGAATCCAGAAAATCAACAACTTTCAGAACTCTCAGAAAATCAACAATACTCAGAACTTCCAGAGCAACGTGGCATTTCAAGAAATCCGAATAGTTCCAGAGATTCTGAAAATCTAAGGCAGAAAGTCAGCTCAAGTCCTCTGGGCTCGAGACTAAATTTACAGGACTCAACAATAACACAAGTTTACGGGAAAATGGACGGTACTCAAGCATCAGTATCAACAGATGATTCAAGCCAAGTGGGCTCAGGACCAAATGTCAATAGATCCTCTACGAGCGTAGAACAAGCACTCAGGTTACTACCAGTTTTCGATGGGACAAGTTCAGAAGAGGTACATCGATTTCTTAGGGCATGTGATTTTGCAGTCAGAATCATTGACCCAGGCCAAATCAGCTTATTGGTGCAAGGGATGACTGTTAAATTGTCCGGGAGAGCGTTACGGGCAATCAGGTATAAAGAAATCGAGACTTATCGGGATTTCCGGAAAGCGATCGTCGAAATGTCAGACAAGAAGAAATTGCTACCCCAATTACAGATGAAGATGCTCACATGCAAAATGAGTTCAGGTGAAGGGGTACAAGATTATCATGATAAGATGGAGCAACTCATGCACGATTTAATCGATGCAGCCATGGAAAGTGGAGACTACATAAATGGGGAGGATATTGATAAGCTATTGCGCAATCAGATACTCAACGCGTTTATAAGTGGGATGCCAGAATCGTATCGAATTCTCCTTAAAGCTAGAGGTCCCAAGAACCTTAGGGAAGCTTTGGCATATGCACTAGAGGAGGAAACGGAAGAAAACCTTGCCAAAGAAACTCAGCAATTATTCAGTAATAAAAAAAACTCGAAGGATCAACAGTCTCAGCCCTCAAAAGCAAATCATACCGTGTTCAAGCAGAAGGACAGTGGCAAAAGCAGCAACATTAGTAAGGGATGTTTTAAGTGTGGGCGAACTAACCATTTTGCCAGGGAATGCAGAGCGTCGTCATGGGATCAGGAGAGATTCAAATCCAGTCAGCAGAATGGGCAGCAAAATAACTCGAAAACTCCCACAAAAGCAGTATTAGTTTGCAGATATTGTAAAAAGGAAGGACATGAATTAGAAGTATGCCTAAAAAGACAATATGTAAATAGTAAAAGGCAACAGGGTGGAAAAGAAGCTTCAACAGAACAACAAAATGCGGGAAACGGAGGGGAACCGAATCCGAGCAGCGCACGATCGGTTCAGCAAATCCAGAGCGCTGTATTGAGTCTGCAGCGACCTTCCACTTCTCAGCAAGACTTGTAAATAATTCCACGTGTCTCAAAATTAAACAGTGTATTCAAGAAAATGTAAGATTGATAGTCGATACCGGGAGTGATGTAAATATTATCAAACTATCAGAACTAAGGAAGGATTTATTGGTGGATGAGAACATAATATATGAGCTAAAGGGTATTAATTCTCAACCAGTGTACACCATAGGATCAGTCGCTTTAAGGGTCCAACTTGGTACGAAGGAAGCAACTGTGAAGTTTCAGGTGGTCCATGACAATTTTCCGATAGTGGAAGCAGGAATCTCGGGCGCACCGTTCTTCAGAGAAAATGGTATTAATATCAACTTCAGAACCTCTACTCTGTCAACAGAACATACAGAAAATCCAGAGTCTCCAGAATCTCCAGATTTGCCAAAAACCCTAGTCATCCAACCACGATCGGAAACGCTGGTGCCCATCATGACAGACAAGGCAGATGACATGAAGCTCGCACAGGTTATCCAAACAGATCATCTTAACCATGAGGAGCGGGCCAGTCTATGGGGAGTATGCAAGAAATATCAGGACTTATTCCACCTCGAAGGAGATGCTCTCCCATTCACTACAGCAATCCAACATGACATCAAGATGCAAGCGGGAGCAGCTCCAGTGAATATCAGACCGTATAGACTTCCATACGCCCATAGAAAAGTTATAGTAGAGCAGATGGAAAAATTGGAAGAAGACGGAATCATCCAGCCTTCAGAATCTCCATGGAACGCACCTTTAGTGGTAGTCCCAAAGAAACCCGATGCTAGTGGAAATCCACAATTCAGAGTTTGCGTAGACTTTCGTCGGCTCAACCAGCTAACCATCGGAGATGCGTTTCCAATTCCTCGAATTGACGAGATCTTAGATCAGCTAGGACGCTCCAGATATTACACTACGTTGGACCTCGCCAGCGGGTACCATCAAGTCCCGATTCGTCCGCAGGATCGTGAGAAGACCGGATTTTCCACAGACAAGGGCCACTTCGAGTTCATCCGAATGCCCTTTGGATTAAGCGGAGCACCTAGTACGTTCCAACGTCTGATGAACGCTGCATTAACAGGCCTCAACGGCATCAAAGCGTTTGTGTACCTAGACGACATAATCATCTATGCAGCGGATCTTACAGAACATGAGAGCAGATTGGAAGAAGTATTTCAGCGACTTCGGAAATTCAGCCTCCAACTCCAGCCAAGCAAATGTCAATTCCTCAGACGTGAAGTAGTTTACCTTGGGCATCTGATAACGGACACTGGTGTAAAACCAGATCCGGCGAAAATCAGTTGTGTTCGAGATCATCCGGTACCAAGGAACCCAACTGAGATAAAACAATTTCTCGGACTCTCTGGGTATTATAGAAGGTTCATAGAAAAATACAGCCAGATAGCCAAGCCGTTAACAACACTATTGAAGAAGGGACAACCTTTTGAGTGGACTGCAGAATGCCAGGCAGCATTTGAGACGCTCATCCAGAAGCTCATTCAAGCTCCAATACTTCAGTACCCCAACTTCGAGGAACCATTTATTTTGACAACCGATGCGAGTCAGTATGCAATTGGGAGTGTCATTTCTCAAGGCCAGGAAATAGGGCAAGATCTACCTATTGCATATGCATCACGTACGCTAAACAAGGCGGAGCAAAACTACAGTACCACGGAAAAGGAACTGCTAAGCATTGTATGGTCAGTCAAGCACTTTAGACCATACCTACTGGGCAGACAGTTTAAGATTTACACAGACCATCAGCCACTTACGTGGCTATTTAATGTTAAGGATCCTGGATCCAGGCTCATGCGGTGGAGAATCAAATTGTCAGAATATCAGTACGAAGTGGTCTATAAACCCGGTGCCGCAAACACAAATGCAGATGCACTCAGCCGTATGGGGTGAATCATGATGAACAGAACATTTAACCCAGTTACCCGAGTTAGTTATGATACCTACTTGCAACTAATAAAAGGCAAGTCAATAGTCAATAATAGGGTAAAAGAGGAATCGGGAGATTTATTCGACGCACCATCAGACTACAGCCTCGCACATTGCATATCCCAGGACGTGAAAATGAGCCAGGGCACGGCCCTCATGTTTCGCAGGAAATTTGGCAATGTGGAGATTTTAAAAAGTCAACACCCCAGAGTCCATGAAGTGTTGTACATTCGTCAAGAAAATCGATACATCCTGTATATGGTAACGAAACCAAAATATTGGCAAAAACTTTGGAGGATATGTTCCTGACTTTACAAAGCCTCAAATCGGTATGCATCGAGCTCGATATTGACAAACTAGCGATGCCCCGTATTGGCAGTGGGATAGACCAACTTGATTGGCCTGCCATCCGGACCATGATTCGGTTTGTATTTAAGGAGATGGATATCAAAATCCATGTTTATTCTCTAACAGAGTTAACACACGCGGAAAAACTAGAAATCATCGCAGAGCATCATTCCAGCCTACTAGGAGGACACCGCGGTATAAACCAAACCGTAAAGCGCATTCAAACACAATTTAACTGGGAAGGATTGGAAGATAATGTGAAGGAATATGTGTCCAAATTTCCATCATGCCAGATAAACAAAACGTGTAACAAGAACGTCAGGCAACCAATGGTCATAAGTACCACGGCCACCGAACCTTTCGAGAAGGTATTTATCGACGTGGTCGGGCCCTTACCGAGAACACATAGCAATAATGCCTACATCTTAACAATGCAGTGTGACCTCACGAAATTCTCCATGGCTAGTCCAATGGAAAATCATGAAGCCAACACTGTGGCGTATCATTTCGTAACCTCTTGTGTATGTCTCCATGGAATACCAAACATGTTGGTTAGTGATTAAGGCACAGAGTTTTTAAGCAAGATCTTAGCCGAGACATGCAAACTGCTGAAAATAAAAAAATGCAATACATCCCCTTACCATCCGCAAGCTAATGGAGCTCTTGAAAGAAGCCATAGAACTTTAGGGGAATATCTGCGACATTTCGTTGACAAAGATCAAACAAATTGGGATACGTTCATTCCATATGCTATGTTCGTATTCAATTCCTCAGAACATCATTCCACAGGGAAACAACCCTATGAACTATTGTATGGTCGCACTGTGACAATGCCAAACTCGTTCACAAAACCCCCAGAACCTCGATACAATTATGAAGATTTCCATGTAGAATTGAAGCAGAAACTCCAAGTGGCACATCAAATAGCCCGCGATCGTCTGTTGGAACGCAAACAGAAGACAAAAGAGACTTACGATCAGAATCAGAATCAGATCATCATTCACGTGGGAGATCGTGTACTCCTTAAAGACAACGCTCGAAAAGGGAAACTTAGTCCTAAATGGTTGGGACCTTATGAGGTGATCGAGCTTAAAGCAAATGAAAATGTAACATTGCAAAAGGATAGAAGGAGGGTGACAGTACATAAAAATCTTATCCGTCCTTTTGTGGACTGATCATTGTAAATACGTGATAAAAATTAACATTAAGTTAACAATGCTAAAACTAACCTAGATGTAAGAAATGCGGTGCTGTACATAAATCTTTGAGGGGAAGAGAAATTTTATATTAACAATAACGAATATCGTTGCAGAGCTTTCATTCAATTCAGTGTGCTTAGCACTGGGCAAATAGAAAACAAATCGGAACGGCAATTAGAGGCAGTCAATAAGGTTTATAACATCACGTCGTTTCCAAACCATCAGGGGTTATATTTCGAACACCATGGTCCAGTAAAAGTGACTCGCCTCAGTTGGGATCTAGTAGCTTATATTGACCTAGCAACTCCAACTTCTAGATTTTCGGTAATAAAGTCACGGTATGCAGATACCGTGGAGATCTGTAAGCAGGTGACCGAGCGATTCTTAGAGTTATCGCCCACCTGCGATCAGTTCGTTCAGACGTTTGCCCGTGCAACGTTGCCTTACATGTATGAAATTGAGGCCAATCATCGCAACATGATGGTATCAATTGGCTACAATTCTTCAGAGGGGGGAAGAACGCGTCGAGGATTAGGCAGCAAAATTCAACGCATGACGAATTTTCTATATGGTATATATTCAAAGATCGATACGGAGTTTATTTTCGATAAAATCTTGGCATTAAGCGAGAGCAAAATCAAGGATTTAAACTTAATTCCGGAAAGGACTAGGATCGTTCAGGCAGAAACAGAAAATCAAATGAAACAACTGTCTAAACACCAGCAGAAACTCGAGGAAAACTGTCAGTTTTTACAAGAACAAGCGAAGCAGATCATCCAGAAGCTCAATAAGGTAGAATTCAGGTCAAGGTTACTGGAACAATCGTTCCTGTTTGAGGTTGTATTAAATCAATATGCCTACGAAACCCAAAATCTAATGTCCATCGTTAACTCTGCCCTGGATGGCAAGATTCACACCAGTGTTTTCACTTCGAGCAAACTACTCACAGAATTAAGGGAAATAAAAATGAATCTTCCAGTAGGAACCTCCCTCCCGTTAGTAGTAAACACCGAATCTCTAACAGAGCTTATTCGAATCTCGGAAATAGCAATTTTCCATAGAGACGATCATTTAGTATTTGCCATAGGTATTCCTCTGATAAGTAATGAAGGATATACCATGTATCGCCCCGTTTCTCTGCCCATTCCGTACGACAAAAATACAGTAATTTTAATTGACCCTGAAGTCGACTACCTTGCTTTAAGTAATAATAATGAAAATTTTTTTGTATTAGAATTAAGTCAATGGGAACTATGTATTAGGCTAGAATTATACACTCTTTGTAAGGGTGATCAACCAATACACCGCCGAACGGGATCTAGCTTGTGTGAAATTTCACGGTTGTCTAACTCGCAAAATACAGTAGGAAATTGTAAAATTAAATTTGTAACATTAGACACACCCATTTGGAATCGATTGTCAAAAACCAATTCTTGGTTGTACTATGCACAACCACACACGTGTACGATTACCTGTTTAGAACATCTACAAAGCTATACCGTGGAGATCTCGGGCGTGGGTAGGTTGACCACCTCATTGTCATGTGAAATTTTTACGGAAAATTCTGTACTCGAACCGTTAAATAAAAATGTTAGAAATGTACAAGCAGACGTAATCCCAGAAAATCCAAAGGTCAGTGTAATCTCTCTGTTAGCAGAGATTCTACCATCTGTATTACCCCAAAATGTTTCAAACTTAAACCCAATAAAAAATCTAAACTCTTTAGCACATAAAGCAATCGAAATAAATAACCTCCAACGTAAGTCATTGGAGCCTCTATTTATATTCAAAGTCGAATTTCACTTTACAGTTATGTACATATCCATATTACTCATAACTCTAACCATAAGTATAGTCGTTGTTAAGTTTAAGAACCAGGTCATAAAAATGTATAGTCCAGAGGTAGCGGACAATATTCCAAACAATGAACAAGTTAACCTTTAAGTTTGTATAAAAAAAAAAATTTGTATTGCCCTAAGTGTAGAATAAATTAAGTTTAAGCATTATAGACACCATGTGGCGGTATTGTAACTAGGTGTACCCGTAGTGTAAGAAATTTATGGAGTAGTAAATAAGGTCGCAGGGACTGCTCCAGTTTAACTCTGGGGGTATGTTGTAAACGGGTAACATGATAAGTATGAATGGGTTGACTCAGTCTAGTGGCGAGTAGTGCGTGTATGAGAACTGTCTGGTTCTCACGGACGCCTACGAGACGCTGAGCGAACACATTCCGAAAGGCTCGGGACAGCCTTTATATATTATATATATCAGTTCTTCAATATTTAATTTATTAAATCAGTAATAGTTTTATCATTATATACATTAATTCTTTAGTGTTCAATACAATAAATCGGTAATCTTATTTATAAGCAAACTGTGTGTTATTTTATTTGATGCCAACACCTACGGTTTTACATCATTCGACGGTGGACCACACTTCACCTCACAGTATCGTTGTAGGTACCAATTCTTATAAATTGAAAGAAAACACAACAATAAACAAAATTGAAAAAGTGAGAAAAGAAAAACAATAATAAAATTATTCATCGTACTCCAAATGCAATATTGCATAGTATACAAGATGTAAGTGGACGACTTGATTAATTAAATAATTAACTCAATTTGTTATAATCATTAATTTTTTCTTATAGTTTATAAACGTTTACAAATATATTTGTTTATTTATATATTTTAATAGGAAAACATATAATTTAAATAGTATTAAATTTTTTTTTTTTAAATTCAAAATACCCAATTTATTAACCTGATGTTTAGAACAATTTTTATGCCAATTTACGTTTATATTATATTATGTCAAATTATTTATTTTTTTTAAATATCAATAATACTTTGGAGTAAATTAATTCCAAACTTTATGACGTTATTCAAAATATTCTTTTTAAAAATGTTCATACATAAGTACAGGAAAATCTTAAATATTTTACTATATTTTCATAATTTTTTTCATAAGGTGAATTTGTGTACATTTTTCATTTTTATTTGTCATGATTTCCTGTTACACCCTGCATTGGTTCCGACCACATAATATAAGTTATATATTTATCTGACATTTATATACCTACTAGTTTAATTTTAATACCTTTACAACTATTTGATTTTTGAATATAAATTAATAAATGGACTTTTAAAATATTTAAGTAAATTATTCGCCATACTGCGTAAGTAGGTTGTTAATTTTTCGAGTAATATGGATACGGAAAAATAATCGAAAACATAATGAATTCGGTGGCTTTCGATACCTATACAATATTAATTTTCAACAATAATATAATACGTACAATAGTATTTACTAAATAGAAAACACTCGGTAAGAATAATAGTAATTTATTCAACGTCTCGAAAGCAATTAATAAAACACTGAATTCAGAATAATGGACAAATTATTAACTATATACAAATACAAATTACAGCAGTAAAACAATGAAATCAAGTGAAATCGATTGTTTGCAGACAATCAATATCGTGGTAAAAGAAATCAAACTCTTAAATATTGTTCATAAATCATTCATCTGCATTAATAGGCCCAAAATGGTTTTCATTTTTATGGTGGTGAGTGGTATGACAAGTAAAGGAAAGTATTGTTTCTAGAGTTCTAAATTGACTTTTATACAAAGTAAATTATTTATTACCGAAGAAAAACGTACAACTTTCCGAAGGACAAATGATAAAATAAATTTATTTTTAAGCTGCATGTATACAATGACTTATATACAAAAATATAGGTAAACAAATAATGGTCAATCACCAGATAATTTTTTTTTAATTTACATAATATGTGTAAGTTGTTTATAAAAAAATTCAACTATAATATAATCATATCTATTTATTTTTGTTTTTCTCTACTTCAAAGAAATATATTTACTTTATTTTTTGGTTATTGTATAATGTATTTATTTTTTTAATTAACTATATTGAACTCTAATTCTTAACCACCATCACAAACATTATGCTTACATGGGAGTTTTCAGCTTGTAATATTTTATTATCTCTTATGTATTTTGTTGTTGACATAAATAAATAATTATTATAATTACATTTTTTAATGTAGCTCACTTGTTGGAAAATTTAGATGACTCCCAATACGATCATGTAGACAAAACAAATTTAATATCAAAATATTTTCTTTTCAATAATAATAAATAGTCAATACCTATAATATATAAAGATTAAAATATGTCACGGTAAAACATGATAAGTGTTAAACTATATGAGTTTTTTGATTTGTCTGGTGTAAAATTTTGAACTTCATATCTCCATCAGATTTTGAGATAATGCTTTCCTATACCAATAACCGTAATGTGACAAAATAAGATGTATACCTACCATTATTAGTCACTTAACAG